TGTGTCTCCCACACAATATCTAATTCTCTATCACTGAATTATACATTTTGGAGAAATGAGGGTGCTCTGTGTTCAGTACAAGCCCCGTTCTCCTCCCTCAGATTGGGGTTCATTGCACCTCGCTATTGTCACCCTCTGCCCCTCACCTCACTACATTACCTTTTACTTGGCTGTCGGGGGAGGAGTGAAAGGGGAACACTGTAAAGCAAGGGGTGGGCAAACTCTGGCCCTCCAGCTGTTGTGGAACTACAAATCCCAGGAGGCATTGCAAGATTCTCACGGCCACAGGCATGACTCCCAGAGGCGGATGCATGGTGGCATTTGTAGTTCCACCACAGCCGGAGGGCTGGAGTTTGCCCACCCCTGGACTAGATGATGCCTAGATGATGAATGTCCTCCAGCCAGCAAATGAGGCGGCCTCTAGCTGACTTGCTGCAGCTTGTAATTAGGGATGCACCAATACCGATACTAGTACTCGCCCAAATACTCCCCATGCTTGTTCCCATACCAGAACTTCCGGTATCAGGAAGCCAGGCAGCGAGTCATTACACGCCGCCCGGCTTCCTGACTGGCCGGGAAGCCGGCTCCATGCTCCCTCGTCACTTGGTGATGAAAGAGCATGGAGCCGGCTTCCCGGCCAATCAGGAAAACCGGGCGGCGTGTAATGACTTGCCGCCCCGGTTTGGGAAGCTGGCCGTTCAGGAAGCCGGGTCATTACCTGCACCCCTCCCCCCTTCCTGATTGGCCAGAAAGCCGACTCCATGCTTCCTTGTCACCTGGTGACGAGGGAGCATGGAGCCAGCTAATCGGGAAGCTGGGCTGTGAGTCATTACGTGCCACCCGGCTTCCTTAATGGGCCTCCTGGTATCGGTATGCAGTATCGGCGAGTACCGGGAAAAAAATATCGGTACTCGTACTTGATTTCCAAAAAAACGGTATCAGTGTATCGCTACTTCTAATGCGCAAATTCTATCCTGGAGAGGAGCCGGTACAACTGGGCAAGACTGAAGGGACGGCTTTAAGGCCCCGTTCACATGTAGCGAATTATCGCGCGATTTCCGCCGCGATATCGCGCATTTTTGCCGCGCGATATCGCGAGAATTCGCCGGCCAATGCTATTCAATGGAGCTGTCTTAACTCCATGTCGCTCGTCGCGGTCGCAAGTCGCTTCTACCGGACCCTTTTTTCGGCGGATTTTGCGCGATTTTGCCTTTTTTCTATGGAGCCCGACGGAGAAGGTCGCACTACCGTCGCTGGATCGTCGCTGGAACGTCGCCCCGAAAGTCGCGCTATCCCGGCCATGCGGATCCGCTGCAAAAGGTATGTCGCTACGTGTGAATGGGGTCTAAAGTGGACACATGCCAAAGCCTCCCCTGAGTCTGGAATGGGTGTACGGCGCAGACGAACCTGATACAGACCGGCACGCAGAGCCGCGTTCTCTCCGTGTCAGGCACTGTGAGCCGTGTTCTCTGTGAACTGCGCTGCTTTATTAGTCTGTGTTTGTGCTGTACTCCTCGTTCACCATCACACATGGGGGCCCCCAATATCCTCCCCCAGTGTACGTCATGCCGACAAGGCAACTACAATCAGTGCTTAGTGTGCATGTTTGATATCTCTGACAGCAGCCGTGATGTTATCGCTTTCCCAAGATGGATCCCGGCCAATGATGGGAACACATCCTACCACGACCTGTCCGAGTGCCAATCCAGGCGAGCAGCAAAGTAAACTCTGCTAAGAACTTGTCTGTGGTGTACCATTCGTCTCTTACAGTGAAGAGAATTATTAACCTGAGCACACCTCTAAACCTCGAATATTCCAGAACATTCTTTACATTTCCTCTATGGACCTTTGTAGCCAACAATCACTTAAAGTGACACTACACTCAGGAGGTAAAACGTAAAAATATATTTAAGCACCTGAACTATTAAAGGAGAACTATGAGGGGGAGGGGCTTTTCACTCACCTCATAGTTCTAGCCGACCTGTGACAATGAGACTGTCACAGGTCGGCTCAGTAGATCGAGAGGTGAGCGAACACATACCGGCGTTCGCTCACCTCTCGATCCTGT